CATGCTGGGAATGGAAGCTGGGACTTTTGCTCTGAGCTACATCCCCAGGTCTTTTCATTTTTTCTTTTGAAAACAGTCCTCCTGAACAAACAGGAGATTTACAAGTAGAGTCATCTCTGCATTTGCTTTGGCTGAAACATACAGACCTCTGTTCCTTCACCCACTGATCCCCTATAGATCAAGTGTTTTTATTTTCAAGCCTCAGTTTTCTGCTCGGGGTAAAATAGGACAGATCAGTACTATTTCACCTAGAGTCATTTGGTTAGGAAAATATATGATAAATGTGAGTAAAGTCTTGGGAGTGTGGTTAATTCAATTCTGATTTGATTCAACAAACAACCCCTGCTCTACTCCTGCCACTACCTTTTAAAAAACAAAGCCTCTTTTTCGTGTGTGTGAAATTCATGATTTTTTTTTATTTGAAAAAGATTAAGACAAAAGAGGGCACAACAAAACAGATCAGAACAGAACAATCCAAGCAACACAGTGTTTCACCACAAAACAACCGACATAACAGTAGCTACCATAGTGTCTCTTTCCTTGAAATATTTGAGTATATCTTTATACACTATAGTATCAAACATAACAAAATAGTATAAAACCATTCAAGAGAGTGAAAGTATTACAGGGTATTCAGAACCAACTAACAGAAAACAAACAATGGTTACTATATTATCTCCTTGTCCATAAAAAATTGTGTTTATACTATCACACATAATAAAATCCAGTAATATACAACATGATACAACTGATGGAGACAAAAGAACAAAAAGCATGGTAGGACCTCAAAACAAGATGATATTAAATTAGCACTGGCTATTATAATGTCTTATTTGCTTCAAAATAGCTGATCATACCATCACAGACAATAAAATGAAACAACCCAGAACAAAACCATTCCAAGTAATGAATGAAAACATTATAAAGCTTCAAAGCAATACAATGGGGAATCATGACTACCATATGCTTTTATGTTCTTACCATTTCTTACACTAGGAAGACTATACAATATTTATACATGTGAATTTGATTTATTTCGCTTATGAGTATGGTTTCAAGCTGCGTCCATTTATAAATATCTCAATGTGATCATTCTTTATAGCTGAGTAGTACTCCATTGTATAAAAATACCACAACTTTTTTTATCCATTCCTCAGTTGATGGACACTTAGATTGTTTCCAAGATCTGGCTATTACAAATTGTGCTGCTATAAACATGGGTGCACATATATCACTGTGGTATGATGTTTTCAGTTCCTCTGGGAATATGCCTAAAAGTGGAATAGCTGGATCAAATGGGACTTCCAATCCCAGCTTTTTGAGAAATCCCCAGACTGACCTCCACAATGGTTGCACCAGTCTACACTCCCAACAACAGTGCAGGAGAGTTCCTTTTCCCCACAGCCTCTCCAGCATTTGGTGTTGGTGGTTTTCTTGATCCTGGCCATTCTTTCATGAGTGAGATGGAATCTCAGTGTGGTTTTAATTTGCATTTCTCTAATGACTACTGATGCTGAACATTTTTTCATATATTTATTTGCCGTTCGTATTTCTTCATCTGAAGGAGGTATAGATAAGTGCAAAGGCATTGGCTTCAATCACCAGTTTAAAAAATTACACGTATAATTCATTAAAAAATCATTCTCAGGGTGAGAGTCAACAAGGACACAGAGCAGAGGCTATGGTGCCTTCCCTGCTCTGCAAGCTTCCCAGCCCCTCCCCTTCCTCACTCCCCCAGGCAATCAACCCCCTTCAGGAACAAATCACAATTACCACTTGGTTGTATATTCCAGGCCATTTTCAAATGAAAGTTTCATTCTTGCTATCTTTAAATTATGAAAGTTTCATTCCCCAGAGGATGAGTACCTTGAGAATGAGCCTTTGTGTGTGCTTTGCTTCTTCCTGTCCTCTGTGGAAGAGCCCTAATCCTCTCTTTGCTTCTGGCAACCTCCCCAACCAGAGTATCAGACCTGCCCTCTTCTGACCTGCCCACCCATTTGCACACTCATTTCAGCCATTTCCACATTTCATCATTGAGAAAAGGGGATTCATTGGTTAGCAGGTGGGGAATGAGCTATGCCTACATCATAGTGAAAGGTTAAGATTCTTTAAAAATTTTTTAGATATTTGTGAAGCAAAATCTTACAATTTTTTTTTTTTTTTTTTTTTTTTTGGTGGTACTGGATTGAACCCAGGGTCTTCACACTAAGCTAGATCTCAGCCCTTTACTTCTTTCTTTTGTTCCCTCTTTCTTCCTCTTAGTCTGTTTCTCTCAATATCTCTTTCCTCTCTCTGTCTGTTCCTCTTTTTCTTTTTTGAGACAGTGTTTTACTAAATTGTTAAACTACCCACACTGGGCTTGCATTTATAATCTTCCTGCCCCAGCCTTCCAGACAGCTGGGATTACAGGCATGCACTCCCACACCCAACTGGTGAATGCTAAGCTAGTGCTCTACCGCTGAGCTATACCTGCAGCCCACATCTTGCGCCACTCATGTCTATATGTATGTATGTAGATAGGTGGATGTAGTACTAGAGATGGAACCCAGGGCCTTCAAACTAAGCAACATTCCCAGCCCCTATTTATTTATTGTTTATTTATGATAGGGTTTTTTGGCGCATTGAAGGGAGAATATAAAGTAAAAAATGGCCTTTATTCTAAGAACATGGAGAGAACCCCATGACTGCCAGAGCCTGGCTTTCTCTGCTGGAAACATGGGGTGGGGAACATACATATAGTTTTCAACTGGGGTGTTGCCCAAGGTGGCATTGCTGATGCACGAGCAACTGATTGGGACCCCCCCCCCACGCGCCACAGGTAATCATAGGAGAGGGGAAAGTGACCTCAAGGTAAACATCCCTTGGCCCCGCCTCCCACTGCCGTAATATCATATCTAGGGCAAATCCTTTCAATTTATTCATCCATTTTGATATAGGGGCTTGCTAAATTGCTCAGGCTAGGTTCAAACATTCGATCTTCCCACCTCAGCCTCCCAGAGTACTGAGATAACATAGGTCAGCACCACCACACGGGGCCAACTTGAATTTTAATTGTATCATCTCACTGCATGCAGTTGGCATCCTCTGAGATAGTGCCTTTTATTTTACAGATGAGGAAAACTGACATACTGAGAAGTTCAAGATGACAAACAACACAATCAGGATTTTAATTGTCTGTTGTCAAAGTCCCATTATGTCTTATACTTTTTTTTAAACTTCTCCCTTTCTCCCCCCCCCCAGTTCTCATCTCAAATTAAATCCATTATTTTAACACTGCAGCCTACATGTTCTGTATTATAGTCCTAGATATCAAAGTCAACATATCCTCAGTTCTTTGGTTCATATAGGCCTACAAAACAATGGTCCTGTTGCTTGAGTGTCCCTGTGCCTGCCCACCCCCCCACACAGACACCCCGCACAACGAAATGGGAGGCAAACCTCTATCACCTGCATTCCCAGCAGCCTCAATGTTTATTGAAGGAGTTTGGAGCTTTGGTTTAAAACTTTGTTCCCTGGGGTTAAACTGCATTAGGTTAAATTGTAGCCTTTGCACTACTAACTATCTCTCAAGGGTGGACCTCAATGCTTCAAAAGATTTTAGCCCGCCAAATAAACATTATTCAGTCATTTCTCTTTTTTCCTTTAAAATAACCTGCAAAACCTGTGGGACTCGAACCGAAAGCAAAGGGCAAAAGTCAAAAAAAACTTGAAAAGAACTGGCAGGTTTATTTAAAAAAAAAAAAAAAAGAAGAAGAATTGGCAGTTTCTATTAGGTCCTTTGAACCAAAAGGAACTGCCCCTTCCCCGTCTTCATTAGCTCCTCTGTTGGAGCTGGGGGCTCAGAGTGACCGCGGGGAGGGATGGTGATGGATCAGGAACATGAGGGAAGTAAGTCCCAGTTCTGTCACAGTGGGATGGAAGCTCCGTCTGGTAAGAAGGAGGTTGAGAAGGGGGAGACTAGGGTCCTGAGTAAGGAAGGAGGGAGAAAAGGGTGGTGAGAGGAGGAAAAGGAGAGAGCAAAAGGAAGGGAGCAGCTCTGGGTGTTTGGCCTGGAGCAGGTAGTTTATAGCTTGTAGCCAATTAACTAAATTAGAGCTTACTTTGGTTCAGCTGAACAGAAGGGCATTGTATTAGGATGGAAAGATAACAGGTACTGGATAGAGGCATGTTGGGGTTTCAATTCCTACTTTTTTTCACACCTCTATAATTTCTGAATCTGATGGAATAAAATAATTATTGTTGTACTTGTTATGTATGAGATATGTTAAAAAAATCTTGGGCTAGAGAGGTAGATGTAGTTCATAATCCCTAGCATATGTGAATTCCTGGTTTAGTTATTAGCATGTGCACACACACACACACACACACACACACACAAATCCTGGTATTGATAGACATTAATTGAAATTTTAAGAATTACTTTATGTATGGATTTTTTTCTCTCTCTCTCTTTTTTTTTTTTTGAAATGGGGACTCCCTCTGTATAAATTTACAGTGATGCTCTTGTCTTAGCTTCCTGAGTGCTGGGATTACAGGTGTGCACCACCATGCCTAGCCTTTATGTAAGGGTTTTGAGACCTCAAAATTAAAGGACTTGCACAATCTACATTCTCATGTATTTTTAGTTGGGATAAATCATGAAACAAACAAAAGAACATAATCTTTTTTTTTTTTTTTTTTTGTCTTTTTCATTTTTATCGGTACCAGGGATCGAACTCACGACTGCCTGCTTTCAAGGCAGGCGCTTATGCCGCTGAGCTAAATCCCCAGCCCCAAGAACATAATCTTAATGAATTCGCTGATCCTCAGGGAGGATAGAATGTGAGCAAAGCAACTAAAATGTCAAAATTTTGCATTTCCTATTTTTGGAGGAGTGGATAACTGTTTTCAACATGAAGGTTACCAAGAATATACTAAGGGCTTTATTTCAAGTTAGATCTCTCTCTCTCTCTCTCTCTCTATATATATATATATATATATATATATATTCCCCATTTTAGAGTCTTCATTCCAAGACCTTCTGTGTTGGAGGTGTGACATTTCAGGGTGCAGTTGGAGCTTCCAAACTTCTACCTGACTTTCATGTTTTTGTTCCCTTCTGCTGACTAATACGCCAAGACTTCACCTCAGTGTTCTGTCTAAACCAACAGCCCAGTCTCTCCATCTCCCATCTCTGGGGGAAGATTAAGGGAGGAAGGTGAGCTCCCAATAACTGTATTAAGTGGTCCCTAAGCAAGTTTATCTATTGTTTGTTTGTCCATGTTTTAGCGACAATCTTTGTGTTTTCAATGTATTTTTACTGAGTCTAAGTCCTTTAATTTCAAAGTGAGCAAAATAAAACAAACCATCTTCATTACAATTGATTTAAAAACTCAAGCAATGAATAGGATCAGAGGGCTAGCTCTCTTCTTTGCCTCGTGCTCGAGGGTGGTCTGCTGGGAAACTAGTTTAGTCAGATAGATGGACAGAGATTTCTCCAATGTAAGCATATTCCAGGGACAAGAGTTGAAAAGCAGTGAATATTTGACGGCTTTCACTCAAATTGGTCAAGATCTCCTTGCACAAATCCAATGAAGCAACAAGGCCATCCACAAGCAGCGTCTCCACCAAGGACACCCTTCCCCTTCTCCCTGAGTCAGAGTGAGCTCAGCCACCCTCAGGGAAGCCTTCTTCTGACTTCCTGTAGCAGTGTGGTTGGGTGTGAGCTGCGCTTAGGGTTTCTGCACGCTGCTTTCACCTCCAGTGTGGTATGGTAGCTTAGTTATTATGAGTGGACAGTTAGAACAGGCAAAAGAAAGGGCAAGGTTGAAGAGCTGTCTTTTTCATTAACATTTCTTCCTATTAAGAGTTAGTCTGAATATATATTCATTGCAGGTTGGACTATAAGCAGTATAGAGATAACCTGCTCTTTCCACCTATACCTAAAGTAAACTTGGAAGAAGTTTGAAACCATTCTTTTTATATATCTATGTATGTTTTGCCAAGCTTAAAAAGAGTGTATAATTAAAACATTTGTGAATTTCAAAAGAAGAAGAAGATGAAGAAGAAGAAGAAGAAGAAGAAGAAGAAGAAGAAGAAGAAGAAGGAGAAAGAAAAGAAAAACAAAATAGCTCAGGTTAAGAATTAGTCCAAACAGCTGGTTAAGCTTAGAAAAATAAAAGAAAACACAAGAACCACCACCCCCCAAAAAAGAAAGCAAGAACAAAACAAGAACCAAAGATTAAGGGTTAGGATTAGGATACAACCCCTGGAAGAAGAGCTCACAATAGTGTCCTCAGCTGACAGCTCCACCCTACCTCCATACCGAACTTGAGAAACTGAAGAAATTTGAGAAATGCAAAATAACCAGTTTCTTCAGAACTCATTTAAAACAAGCTGATTGCCGTGTGCTCTGCTTATTCACATAGGAGCAGGACAAAAAACACGATTTGGCCTTTCTTTTGGAATCTCCTCCTAGAGACCTTTACTTTTTTCTTATTTCCAATGAAACACTCTTAAATTCCTCCTCTTGGCTTGCGACTTCATTCTTCCACTTTGTGAAACTAAGAACTCAGTTTGTTTTGTACAGAATTAACTGCTTCAGTAGCATCATCAAAGACTGATTGCAAATTGATTGCCATGGCACAGCATATGTTTCTCAAGAGGGTGTTTGTTTATCACTGCTGTTTTTGACAAGTATTTAACACCAGGAAAAAGAAAAGGGAAGAGAAGATGGGAAAGACAGGAGGAAGGGGAATGAACCTCGGCAACCCTTATTTTCAGCCTCCAACCTCTTGACTCCCTTCTCTGCCTGGCTCCTCACTCCTAGAAAGAGGACAGTTTCCCCAGTCACCAGACAAGGAATATCAGAAGAGTTTCCTGTTTTGAAAAAAAAAAAAAAAAATGCATGTTAAGTTTCCAGTTTTTTGAGACTGGCACAGAAACAGACAAAGTGTTTATGCACTGATAGCATATTTTTTAAAAAAATTCCAGTTTCTATGAAAACCTTTGTTCTGAGTCCAGTTTAGCCCTGTGAAGAAATTGAAAGCTCCATCTCTGTTTTTGATTCTAATGATGACTTGAGGACTTTCCTCTTGCTCAATTTGTTCATCCATAAAATGAGCCTGTGTTTTAATTTGTGTGATTTCTGATTCATTAGTCAGTTGTCATCAATTTATGAGCAGGTTGCAACTGGCATTTTAGAGTTAAAATCAGAGTGTACTGTTTGTGGCAAGGTAAAGATTATTTCATGACACTTGGTTTTGGTTGTACTTTGGGACACAGGTACTAGATTATGGGGTAAAATGTACTTTCAGTATGTTGAAGTTAAACAAAAAATTTAATGAAATACAATAAAAACTAACAAGAGCAAAATCTAAAAAGAAGTCAGACAATATGATTTTTTTTAAAAGTCCCTATCATTTTAATCCACATGAATTTGACAATGTAACCATTCTAACAGGGGGAAAGAAAGACTGACAGGAAGTGAAAGAGAGATTCTTTAGAATAGTTCAAAACAGGAAGCCCACTACAGAACAGGTGGAACCAAGAGAAAGACACCAGAAAGCTAAAAAACAGAAATTCTCTTCAAAAAAATTGTTCACTTTGGCCCCAAACTGCCTTTCCAGCGTTAAGTCTCTACCTCGGGTATTGCCTTATTTCTGATTGGAAAGAACACTGTTCTCAGGGAGCTGTTCTCTCCAACCCCACCCTCCCTTCTCCTGTGGTTATTTATAGTCTTTATGCCCTTCCTACTCCTCTCCCCCATCCCCTGGCACCCGTGGAAGCCTGTAGGTGCTGGGTCTAATTACTAGTGGGATCTGGCTCAGCTCTGTTCAACCCTGGTGGTCTGCAGCATATGTTCCATGCACTCTCTGTGTCTGGAATGTGGAGGGGTAGTGGTGAGGTAGGTACAAGGGAGGGTGAACTGTAGATTGTCTGCATTGTAGGGGCAGAGGGAAATTTCCCTTCCACCCCCTGAAGTTTCCCTGAAATAAATTGTGGAAATTATATGAGAGAAATAGAAATTTATTAAGGTATAAAAGAGGAGAAATCACAGCACGGGAAAAATCGTGGGACTGTTATTAGCCACTAGCCCATCATGAATGAAGAATTTATGTACCAAATCTAGTGTGGTGACACATGCCTATAATCCCAGCATGGGAGGCTGAGGCAAGAAGATCAAAGGCCATAGGTTCAAACTCAGGACCAAAAAGAAAGAAAGAAAGCAAGAAAGAAATGAAACTTATAGAGCCCCCTTTTGACAGAGGAGAGAAAAGGTAATATCTGAGAAATTGTAAATGATTTTAGGGGAACTTGATGGAGTTGGAGAACATATTGTACTCTGGGGCAAAGTCCAATAGTACTGCAGAACTGAAAACAGATTACTAATAATTCACCAAGAATTAAAAAAAATACTTAAAAACATTTTTAAATTTTTTAATTAAAACATTTTGGTTTTGGCTGGGGATTTTAGCTCAGCAGCATAAGCACCTGCCTGGCAAGTGCAAGGTCGTGAGTGATCCCCAGTACTCCCCCCAGAAATTGTTTTGTTATATTTTTTGAGACACACACAGTCTTGTTATATAGCCCAAGACTGACTTTGAAACCCTGTGATCCTTCTATTTCAGCCTTCTTGCGTGCTGGGATTACATAATTCAAAAAAAATTTTTTTAAATGTTTAAAATTTGAGATAAGGTCTGGCTAAATTGCTCTGGCTGAGCTAGAATTTGCAATCCTCCTGCCTCAGCATCTTGAGTACCTAGGATTACAGGCTAATACTCCACTACCAGCAGATTGTAAATGACTATGGCACCAAAATGGAGGATAATGCTGTGTAACAAGTCTGTCCAGGTAAGTAGACACACTTATCTTTCTTCCTGTCATATGAATTTAGTCTTTCTGGTTAACAAAATTTCAGCAAGAAGACTCAAAGCAACTGAGTTCTTTTGACTTCCCTATTCAGGTAAGAAAGGGATTTGCAGAAGGGCTTTTGCTTAGCTGGGAAGGGGAGAAACAAGGGAAGAGAAGAGCTTTGATGCTGAGGTAGGTTCTGAGGTTTCTCAGCATGTCAAAGCCCCAGGTTTTTGGGGTATCATTTTCCAGCCCCAACAATAGCGATAATTTTCTGCAGAGCCAGAGTTTTCCTAGGCAGGCAAACTTGTATAAATTGAAAATGTACTTGGCCAGAGATTTAGCTCAGTAGTATAGCATCTGCCTGGCAAGTGCAAGGTCCTGAGTTTGATTCCCAGTACCAAACAAGAAAGAAAATGTATTTGATTCCCAGTTATCATCACAAGTTTGAAATATCCTGGTCAATAGATCAGAAGTGCCTCCCATGACCCACTCCCTCATCCACGCCAAGGGCCAGACTTTGCTGCAGGGTGACAAAGTCAGCCAGGAAGATCTAAGCAGAGAGAGAGAGAGAAAGGATCTGGGTTTATGGCCATATCATCCTGAGCTCACCCTGTATCATTATGTTATCAACTGATCTCGAAGCTAAGCGGGGTCCTGCTGAGTTAGTGTGTGGACAGGAAAGGAGTCTGAAACTCACTGCAAAATGGGCCTTAAGGCAAGGACAATCTGACTTTAAAAATTCCTTTTAATAATCACTTTTTTTTTGGTCTTTTTTTGGTCTCGCTATGCAGTTAGGGTGGCCTTGAGCTCACTTTGTAGCCCAGGCTGGTCTCGAACTCACAATAATCCTCCTGCCTCAGCCTCCGGAGTGAGCTGGGATTACAGGTGTGAGCCACCACGCCCGGCTTAATAATCACTTTTTAAAAGAGGGATTTTAAAAATTTGATGAACAAATGAGAAGTGATAGCAGAGTATTTACTCTTTTGCTATGGGGGCAGCCCAGTTTAGGATAAGGAGATAAGAGGTCTTAGTGCATAAGATTAGGCCTCCTTCTTTGGCCAGGAATGCTTCAGGACAGTGCTTAGCAGAACTTTATGAAAGTAACAATTATTCTGAAAGTCTATGGGGGAAAATGTGTTAAAAGTCATCCCTCTATCCCCCTCCCTACCACATGTCAAAAAAACTGGTTGTGGCACACGCCTATAATCCCAGTACTCAGGAGGCCGAGGCAGGAGGATTGCTTCAAATTTGAGGCCAACCTGAACTGCATAGCAAAACCCTGTCTCAAAACCAAACCAAAACAAAACAGCCATCCCTCTAGATTCTTGGACAATCTGAGTCTCTGCCTGGAAATCTGAAGCTGTGTAAACTAAAAGACAGGATTTCAGGGTTCTCTTCTTTTACAACTGACCAATCAGATGACCTTCGACTTTTGGCTTGTCTTCTGTTTCTCATTCCTTTTTCATTAAATAAATATTCATGCAGACAATAATGGCTTCCATTGCCAGGTATTTTTAAGATGGTTTACCTAAATTTTTTTTTTTTTTTTTTTTGTCTTTTTCCTTTTTATCGGTACCAGGGATCGAACCCACGACTGCCTGCTTGCAAGGCAGGCACTTATGCCACTGAGCTAAATCCCCAGCCCGGTTTACCTAAATTTTAAGAAGTAGTACTTAGACCGTGTCTCAAAATAGAAAACAAAAGAAGGGTTGGGATGTCGCTCAGTGTTAAGGTCATGGATTCAGTCCCCAGTACTGCAAAAACAAAAAAAAAAGTGATATTAGTAGAAAAGAAGCAGCATATTATCTCCATGTTTATGTATTAGAAAACTAAAGCAGAGAGAATGGTTAGTAACTCGCCTGAGTGCTGAGGTATTTGTGTACGTGACTAAGTGAGGTTTGGCCTCACTGGAGGCTATGTGACACCATGCTGAGTAACCTCTGCTGGTTGCGGGGGGAGTGGGGAGGCAAGGAGCTAAAGAGGAAGTTAAAGACTATTCTAGACCTGCTCTGCGAGACTCATGGATGCCAGTGTTTACCGGGAAAGGCAAGTCATGGTTTTTCTGTTTCTCCCCCCATGACCTGGCCTAGAGCTGCAGTCTTCTAATGCTTTTTGCTCTCTTAGCTTGCAGAAAAAACTCTGAAAAACCAAGTACTCTTTCAAACATTTTAAAGTTGATAGCTAACATTGTTTTAAGTTTAAAAGTTATAAAACATGATTACTGTGACTGTTACTATAAAACTATGAATTCACTTTTAGATAGATTTAAAGGAATATAATTATCAAACTAGTTTTCTATTTTTAGGAATCACTAGTGGAACAAGTTTAATATAAAAATATATATGATATATTAGGAATATTCAAAGTAGACTTCCAATGGCTACCAGCAGAGTCAGGGTGAAAGCATGCAAAATGGCTGTCTGCACAGTGGAAAGCCAGAAGACCCAGTTGAAAGTCAAAGGCCTGGAGCTCACTGCAGAGTCCTGTGCAAGCCTGTACTGGGAAGCCAAAAGGTCTACACTGGAAGGCTCAAAGAACTAATGATAATGTTCAAAGGTGATGGAGAAGAGCACCTTCTAAGGAGCAAAAGGACAGACTTCCTTCTTCTTTCCCTTTTATTCCATCCAGACCACAAGCCTATTGGCTGATACCATGATCCTGCATGGATCTTCCCTATTCAGTTTACAGCCTACATGTCAAGCAACACAAAGAACCGTGCTCTGCTAATCCACTAGATATTTCTTTTTCTTTTCCTTTTTGTTTTTTTGGTTTTACTGAGACAGGGTCTCACTCAGTTCAGGCTGACCTTGAGCTCATTTTGTAGCTCAGGTTGATTTCAAACTCGAGAATTTACAATGATTCTCCTGGCTCAGCCTCCTGAGTACTGAGATTATACATTTGTGCCACCACGCCCAGCTCTCCTAGATGTTTCTTAGTCTATTTAAATTGACAGCACAGGCTGCGGCCCCTCCAGGGGGAGAACCACCAGCTCCTCCTGAGATCTGTGCCATGCTGGAACTTAGGATGCTGGGAAACCAAGCAAGCAGCTCCCCTCCCTGGTAAGCGGCTGTGGTGTGGCAGGTTGTGGCCTCTTCAGGGAAGAACCACCAGCGTCTCCTGAGATCCGTGCCATGTTGGAACTTTACAACACTGGGAAACCAAGCAACCAACCTGCCTCCCTGCTAAGCAATAGTGAGCCTTCTGGTGAACGGGCTGAGAGTCAAACATCCCACTTCCCTTACCCCCCTTCTCCTGCCCCCCATTAACAGATGGGAACCAGAGATCTGAGCATCTCTGGGGAGGTTGACCATAGCAAATAAGGGGGATTTCCTTATACCATCTCTTTGAAGGCAAATATTTTTATTACTGTTTTGCTCTATTCTGATTAATGGTACTGCTCTATTCAATATTCTGTTTTGATAAGTTCTATAATGTTCTGTATTTCATTTTGATATATGTAATTGAAAGTACAACTATTGTGAAAATAACAAGATATACTGCGATACCTATTACAGATACCCCAGTAACCTGCTGTGAAGCTCTGTACCAATTTCACCACACTGTCTCAGCTGGCTTTATTCTGTCTTGTTCTGTTGTATTTTACTACCTTCAAAATAAATAAATAAATAAATTGACAGCACAATGAACCATCACACCATAACTGAATTAGAAAATTTATGACTATGTTCTTCAGTTGGAAGATTTATATTGTTTTTTTTTCTTTGAAATTACATTTTTGTTGTTGTTGACTTTTGTCTTTCAGACAGTACCTTGCTGTGTAGCCCAGGCTAGCTTCAAACTCTTTTCTCTTTTCTTTCTTCTTCAGTCTTCCAAGTGTTGGGATTAGAGGTACGCTCCACCACACATTCAGGTTTTTTTATTTTGTTTTTGTTTGGTTTGTTTTTTTTGCGACAGGGTCTTGCTTTGTAGTTTTAGACCTTGAACTCATTATGTAACCCAACCTTTCCTCAAATTCTCAGAGATCCTCCTACCTCAATTTCCTAAGTCCAGTCACTCCCAGCTTTTGAAATCATATTTTGATTCTACTTTTATGTAATCTTTCTTTAAAATAATTTAGTAATTGGAAACATTTATTGATCACTCTCATGTGCATATTTTCTGCAACAAAAAACACATAAACTTTGACTGGCATATACAAGGCCTGGGTTCAACCTCCGGTACTGAAAAGACAATATAAACATTAAAATAGATTTTTTATTGTCTCCAGTGAGCAGAAGATTCTGTATTATTATTATTATCATTATTACTATTGACAGGGTTTTGCTATGTATCTCAGACTGGCCTCCAACTCATGGTGATCCTCCTGCCTCAGCCTGCTGAGAGTGCTAGGATTACAGATGTGCTCAATCACACCGAGCCTTCTAACCATTTTAGAAATTTACCATTTTAAGTGATGTTTATAAGTAAGCAAGAGATGTTACAAATTTTTATAATTAGTAGACATTAATGTTCACTTTAGTAAAGTTTAATTATAAATTTGTCTCTTAAGGAGATGAAAGCAGTGAGGTAGTATTTATAGTTCCTTAATTAAAATAATTATGGAATTATTCCCTTGATGTCTGAATAGCTTTTTATATCCGAGAGCAATGGATCATTTACCAAGATTAGGGATCCTAGGGAAGGTAGAAGGTAGATTTTTTTTTTTTTTGATTGAGACAGAGCTATGAATTACAGGCTGGCCTTGAACTCACTATGTAGCCCAGACTGGCCTCAAACTCACAGCAATCCTCCTGCCTAAGCCTCCTGAGTGCTGTGATCATGGATGTGTACCTCCTGTCTCAAAATAGAAAGCCTGTCCCCACCACCAACTTTTTTTAAAGTGAAAAGAAAATAGTTGAGAAAATTAGATGAGAAATGAAAATTAAGGCTGCAGATGCCCTTTAAGTCACATCATTTTAGGGAAAAACACACATGGAAATTGAGGATCTGGAAAATAATGCCTTTGAAATTATCCCAACCCCATACCACTTGGAAAATAGCTTCCTACCCTAACCCTTTATAACCCAATAATATTTCCCCTTACTGCACATACTAAGGGAAAAACTGAGTCACAGGAGCAGTAGCAAAGAAGTACCCTTTGTTCCTTACCCTGCTGGATCTGTACACCTTCAAAACCCTTCTTCTGAGTCCTTCTGAAGGTAGCTTATTGGTATGAACAAACCAGTCTTGGCTCTTTTGTGCCCATTTTGTTCATCTACAGCATGGATTGCTGAGCTATTAACCCTTTACCTGCTAGAGTAAACCACAGTAGTTTCCCTTATGTATGGTTTCACTTTTCAGTTTTAGTCATTCATAGTCAACCACAGTCCAAGAATACTCAATGGGAAATTCTACCCAGTATGTCCTAAGTTTTATATTGCGCACTTTTTGCATAGTGTGACACCTGGAAGGTGAATCACCCCTTTATACAGCATACTCAGATTGTGTATGCCACCTGCCTGCTGGTCACTTAGCTCTCTCAGTTATCAGACTGACTGCTTAGTGTCACCATGCTTACATGAAGTCACCCTTACTTTGCTCAGTCATAGATCCAGAACTCAACAGCAGTGATGCTTGACCATTTAGAAGTGTCGAGAAACACCAACAATTCTCCGTATTTTTCTATTTTGAGACACAGTCTCTCACCTAAGTTTCCAAGACTGGCTTTGTGTCTTTTTTTTTCCAATCAGTTTTTATTGGTACATTTTAGATATGCATAGTGATCACATTCATCGAGCTAAGGCTGGCTTTGAACTTGTGATCTGTCACTGGCTAGCTGGATCATTGCTTCAGTAAAAATGAAAGTTAAAACTGAGACAACAGCTGGCCCTGGTGGTACAGGCTTATAATCCTGGGCTGAAAGAAAGAAAGGAAGAAAGAAATAAAGAAAGAGAAATATATATGTACATTGGGAAAGGCCCGGGGTTCAATCCTCAGTACGGCTAACACATTGTAAAACAAAACAAAACTCTGGGGCAACAGCATGAATTTACAATGGCAAAGCTTTCAATGGAAAGTAACACAGACTAATTTAAGGATAAAGTAAAAGTTTATTATAAAAAAAAGAAACTGGGGAAAGGAAAGTAAAAATGATTAAGATGCAATATTCCCCAAGGGTAAAGTAATTATCGTGCATTGAAAACATATACTAATACAGAAGGGAAAGGAGGGAAGAAGGCAAGGGGAGGGAACCAAACAATTTCTTGCCGCAAGAAATGGACAGAGAAATTGGCCATGCCACAGACAGAGCAGCCAGCTACTCCACAAACAGAGAAGCATCGAACAAAGGTTCATTCCATTTTTACTAGTTTTCAAAGAAATATCATTAATTGTTCACTTTTTTCCAAAAGGCACAGGGTGGAGTTTATTTATTGCAGTGACATGAGTTTGTACATTGTCCAAAGTATGTTTATAAATGTGTTCTGTCCACTCCCTGGGTAGAGAATTTATTATGGAAATGCATTATAATGAAGATGTAACAAAGTTACATCTAGTTTGCCCCCACATCCTTTTTTTTTTCAATCTCAAGGATGAGAGCAGCTTGCTTGCTTAATTGGTACCCTGATTTACTTTTCCCCCTCTCATTGCCAAACATTGCTGCTGCCTGCTCACTTTTTCTCAGTCTGCTTATGTCCTGTCAATGTGCCCCTAATTTAGTTTTGCCTCAACCTCACAAGTATGGAACTTACAGACGTGAGCCACCATGCCCGGCTGGTCATACAAAGTTTGCTGTTGTACCTCAAGCACAGTGTGTGGTAAGTATTTAGTTATAATGGAAAATGCACAAAATTTGAGGATGGAAGACATGAATAGAAATTGTGTTGCAATTGGTAGTGATGTACTTTGCCTGAAAGCACTGGACCTATAGTGTATCTTCAGCAAGTATCTCCTGAAATGAGCCACACTAGCTATTTATTTCAAGTAAAGGATGGTTATACAGATTCAGAATAGGTTTGAGATTTTAAAAAAAATATGATAAAGTCAGGCACAGTGTATAGAGCAAACAAACCAAAAAGAAAAAAGATAGGCATCATCTGCTTATATTCTGGGGACATAATCAGAAAGCATGGGTGACAGTCATCCTGTTTATTGAATGGTTCCAACAATGCTTCATTCCAGAAATGAAAAAAATATTTGGAAGAGGAAGAGTTGGAATTTAAAATCCTGTTTCATCTGGCCATCCTGAATCTGCACGTTATTAAAATGAAAATATGACAGTTGCATTCTTACCTCTAAACACAACTTCAATGTCTCAACCCCTTGGCCAAGACACCATTGAGTTTGTCAAGGACAGATATGTTTGGTGTTTGATGCATTTCTTAAAAATTTGATGCAGATCCTAATCTGAGCACAAGTCCTGGAAACCACTCACTAACTCCTATGCAATAGCATTTACCAAACTGCAATGGATGAGTTAAAGCCTAGGACTAAAATGTCTTCTGGACCAGGTGTGGTGGCATACATTTGTAATCCCAGAACTCAAGAGGCTGAAGCAGGATGATCGCCATGAGTTCAAGACCAGCCTAAACTGCATAGTGAGACCCTGTCTGGAAAAATAAATAAAAGGCTGCTTTATCTACTGCAGCAGATAAAGCAGCCTTTCTGAGAGTCACTGTCCAGACACTGGAATATTGCATCATGAGGAAGACAAGAAGGAAGGAAATGGGTTCCCAAGACCCAGGAAGAATGTGAAGTATGAATTGAAGCCCAGAGAGAATGAAAAGAAAAAGTTCAAGGAAGAAGAAGGCAGTAGCTGCTGGTGCTTTTGCATGAGACAGGACTCACAGTGTGAGAGGAGCTGTTTGAACCTGGGGATACTTGATCACAGTGATGGCGATGACTGGCAACCCCAGAGGCCTCTGCAGAGGAATGATGGAGGGGAGCAGCAAATGTGGAGGACTGCCCTGGCTGGTGGGGAGTACAGAGAATTCAGTCTTTCCATGGGAGAAAGCAATCAGCCAGGCGCCATTTTGGAGATGGTCTGCTAAGCTTGTAACCCAGAACTACTGCTGGCTTTCTCTAGCCACTCCCAGCTGGGCACAGACCCGTGGAAATTGCTTGGACTGTGGCAAGCCCAATGAGTCCTATCTCAGGACAGGCTTGCTGAGATTGTCCACTTCACCTTAAAACAACTGCTGGCTTGCTCGGATAGATTGGCACAATGCTGGATTCTTTCTCCACAGGTTGTTTACTAGTGAAACTAGAGAGAACCCTGGAAGTGGAGTTTGTTTTCCTTTTCCTTTTTCTCCTTCATTTTTTTTATGAGTGTATAAGTGGTTCCTAACCTTTTTATGGGTGAAGTTCTGCTCTGTTCTTCTTAAACATCTCTTTCATTTCTTTTTTCCTCCAGTCTTCTGCACCAATTTCCCCAAGTTGGGGTGATCCCCCTTTGTTCTCCAACCTTACTTCTAATATCTTTCTCTTTTTCCTTCTCTATTTTCTCCTAAATCCATTTTAAATTTTAGCCCTTGAGGACAAAATTGACACATTACAGACTTACATATTGTATATAATTGTCTAGTTTGTTTTACATTTTGTTATATAATCACAAATCTAGTTCATAGAGTTAAAAGTTGCAAATTAAAAGTTAGCTCAGTTTGTTGTTTTCCAGGCTATGTTTAATGCTATTGATACCACTATAACCAAAATTGACATAATTGT